TTTCTCGTCTGTCGTCAATTTGATGAATTATCCTAAAAAAATGTATACGGAGAGTGATTCGAAAGATTGGTTTTCGAGCGCAAATACAATCGAAAACGTTCGAATCACGCAAATTGATTTCGGAATCAAATATGATCATTTATGAAACTGCGCTCGTTTGCGTTTGAGCCATGCATATCATATTTCTTTAAGAGATACCGTGTGACCGTTAGGTTAATGAAATACGTCTTTAATTAAATAGAAAACCTTCTTCGTTCACTTGAAAAAACGAGGCCGAGTTTTTGGAAATTGTTACAGCGCCACAAAGTGGTTTTAAAGTTTAAGAATTTTACAATTCTAGTTACACGAGGTTCCCGAGACTTAATAAATATGTAATAACTGATGACATATTTGTTGAGATGATCAAAGAAGCCATCATGAGTTTTGTAACGAAAATAAAAGAGAAACGCTTCAATAGTAATTTTACAAAGATATTTCTTTTAATATGTATAAACAACAAATGTTTACCACTTATATTGTTACAACGCTTTAAAAGTGACGTTGCGTATTGAAGATACTTTTACAAAACGACTTTGTTACTCGATGTAGCGCTATTATAGAGATATCGTATGATTAAAAAGAAAAAAAAAACGAAAAAGATGCGTTGTACATACGAACGCAATACACATAAAATAATTTACCAAGAAGTATTGTTAAATATATTACTACAAGTATATTACTAAATTACAGAACTTTCACTGCGCGCGTCTTTAAGCCGTATGCATCGATATCAATTATGTATACAAAACGCATTAATATGCGTTTTAAGTAATACAAAAAATACAAATTAATTGAATTAAAATATATATTAAATCATCAAATACATATCTTTATCTCAATTAAATAAATTGAAAAATAATGAAGAGAAGTTTATTTATCCGCGTATTTTAATAAAATCTAATAAATCATATTAACGTTTTGAGAGACATTTTAGTATCACAAAAATATCTTAAACATTTAAGTACAGTCATGTATTATAGTAAGTATTACAAGATTTAAAAAATTTTACTTAACTTTCTACGATAATGATACTTATATTGGATGCATAAAGGCTTAAAGTTCTGCAGCTTTATAATGCAAACGAATAGAACAATCTGTAACCGTCAATTACGTCGTATCCAACGAGATCCGTCATCCTCTTCCAGCCTCGTGCTTCGAGATTCTCGTCGCAATAATACGCAATTAGTAATTACTAGAATCTTATTAAAATGTTAAAATGTATTAATTAATTTAGTTATTAAGCAATTGCGAAGTACGAAGACCCGCGGTATTGTTTATACCAGCTATATAAATTTCGAACATTTTACCACAAATGAAACAGGAAGACGAGTAAATCGCCGAAATATTACAATGGCTACTTGGTTATTAATTATTAATTATTAAAATTAATTAATTTCTTGCGTCACTACCTAAGTTATTTTAAATTATGTAACAATAAAAATTACATATCAAGATAAATTAAATTACAAAATAAACTTGATTGACGTAATATATAAAATAAATATATATTACGTTTTTCTTTTATATATTCTATTACATCACAGTATCAATTGATAATCGCGTTGGACATAAGATCAGACATATCAACCATACTGTAATTTAACATTTATATAAAAGCTATTTTATTATCAATTTTTTATTAATCTGATATTTTATCTCATGAAAGATATCTATAAAAATTAGAAAGCGCAAGGAATTAAATGTTAAGTTTTACTGCTCGAAGCCGAAGATAAAGATGGTGGTTCCAATTGAACATATCAAAGCCTCCGTAGGAAAGGCCAGCCAATATTCGGATTTCTACTCTGGTTTCACAGATTAAGTTTTTTCGACGCTTATTCTCGCGACAGGAAACACATGAGAGCTCGCGAAGCGGCTCGATCGCGCGGTGATGCGCAGCTTCCAAGAATTACCTTGGAGATAATGTATGATCTGATATAAATACGCAGGAAAATCCTGTGCACTGGAGCTATCGTTTATTTATTCGATACATAGCCAATCATCCCCTTTTATTTAACATTGTTCTTTATTTATATTTTTTCTTTAAATATATGATTTTGTATAAATTATATTAATTTATATATGTTATATTTAATTATACAATATATATACTTTTATAAAAAATTATAGCGTTATATAGTAATGCTTAACTATCTAAATTCTAAATGATTAATATAATACATATAGTCAGTAAGTTATACTTAAAATTATTAAATAGCTAATGCAAAATTTTACGCGATGTTCATAAGTCTATGATTATTACAAGTGGATAAAATGTTAATTAATTCAAATCTATTTATATACTAATTTATATGCTATTTATATGCTTTCATTTTCTATATAAAGCTAAATATATTAAATACATTATTAAATACAAATATTTATTATAAAATATTATATTATTGTAGTCAAACTTAATTTAAAAAAAAATTTGTAAGTAATGCAAAAAGAAACAAGTCATTCTTTTTTTACAATTGCTAGAAACTTGCTAATCATTAAAGGAACGAAATCATTAATCGATTTCAGACTTCGCGGGGGATGTACATATGAGAAAAGTGGCCTCTCGCATTTCATTTATGAACTATTAACTAAATTTTAACTTACCAGTGAAGCTTCGGTTTTTCGTTAATTGGATTTGAATAGTTAGTTATAAAGAAGTTGGTTATTATCAAATTAAAATTAATTTCACATAACTCGATTTTTCTTTTCTCGTTGTTAATAGTAGGGGAGATCGGAGCTAACTCGACACTATTTTTTCAAAGGCAATTTTTAATATTTAATTAAAATTTTTAGGCAAATTCAATGGTATATATTTAAAGAGTGTTCCTTCAGGTACAAAATTGATTCGGAAAGTTTTGCTGTACGTCGCTTTGTTTTGCCGCCAGGAAAAGAAAAGTGAAGCGAAAACAAATTTTCGAATTGAAAAATGCCGGGGCAAACTCGACACTTTCTTTGGTCGACACAATTTGATCTGGAACTTATTTTTTACCATCTGAAAATAAAAATACATTGTTTATTGTGTATTTAAAAAGTACAAAAATTCGGAATAAAGTAGCTAGAACAATCATTTAAAATAATGAGAACAAAAAATTGTTGAACTTTCAATTATCTTCATCTAAACTCATGTCTGAAAAACAATTAATGCAGGTAAACTCGCGATCGGACGTGCGCATATTATACATTTGTCATGCATGAGTTGCTGCACGACAAGCATCGTTTGTTACTGGGAGCTGACGAAACAGCGTGGTGTTGACTTTGGCCCGGACGTCGTTTTTCACTTTTGTCACTTCAAAAACATGAAAATTATGAAAATATCCAAAAACGATTATCGGATTCATATAGACGTCAAATTTCCCGTGAAAATCACTTACATATAGATTTGCAAGAGTAAAGCTCGATGAAAGAGTAGAAATTTTCGAGAGATCAGAAAAATTACTTTTCACCGTCAAAAACGCTTATGTCGCGCTAAAAATTACACCATAACTCAAAATTTCATCAAATCCCGTTGATAATACTAGCACATAAAAACGCATTTACAGTAGGAAAGGCAAGTTTCTAACGATAGATTTAAATTAGCAAAAAGTCTAGTGTCAAGTTTGCCCCGATGTCGAGTTAGCCCCGGTCTCCCTTATGCCTGAAGAAGATATATAGTTAACAGCTTCTAGTAAAAGGGGAAAGCTTCTGTATCGACTGCAAATATGCTCAGAAAAATATACAATTCCGAAATATTTTTTGATTTTACATAATTTCTGTCAAAATAAAGAATAATCATTCTATAATTATAATCAATAACGAACGTACGAAAAAGTATAAGTCTAATGATTTTCTGAGCTAGTTAGGTTGTATAGTATTTATAATCAGATGGCGACAGTGGATATTTTAGCACGTTGCTTCGTCGATATTCATTATTTTAACGACAAACAATCGCTTTATCGATAAGTTTACCATAATAATCCAGATTTTCATCAATAATTGTCATTTTAGTTTATATTAAAAAATGTATTAAATGAATGGCAATTTTGATCTTCGTCGAGCGTCATTTTTTTGACTGAAGATCAATTGAGATTATTCGAATAAGAAGCAAAAGGATTATTTGAATACAACTTTACTTCAGATTCAAAATATCGATTAAAGCAGAAATATATACGTGCTTGTTTAAAGGAAATCTTTTTAAATTTAATATTAGTAATAACATATAGTAAAAATTTACTTTAAAAAAATAGTTTTTTAATAAAATGCATACTTTTTTGTGTAAAAGTATATATAAAAAATAAAGGAACACGCATCAATAAAAGTAAAACAGATATAAACAAGATAACCGGTAAGCATCAACTAACAGTGGAATTACATCTATATTATAATTTCCCAGTCAACAATATAAGTGAAATTTATAACACATGTTGCAGATAACAGTTACATTGTTAAGTAGAAAATTATAATATTGATATAATGTTAGTTGACTAGGTTTATTAGGTTTACTAGGTATATCTGGTACCTATATAACAAGAATTAATAACATACAAAGATATATTAATACCTATCCTTAATACATAAAGAAATATATTATTAATAAGGATTAATAAAGATTAACGTACATATGTACATATTATTAATAACATATTTTAAATTCTACAGTTTGCAAGTTAGTTAAAAACAATTTTACTTTATTTTTAAGCATTTTTATAATTTATTTATTTTTTAATACCTAGCCTGATGGACTTTTTTATGATATATGGAAATTAAAGTGATAAACATAATCCATTTTTAGCTTTTCACATTCTTTTGCCCTACCATCTTTTTTGACATGCTTTTAATTGAAAAATTACAGGATCTCTCATTTGAATCCACGTGCTTAGATGTTACACGATACTGCAGATGAAAGAGAGTAGGGCTTAATCAGTTTGTCGATAGGCAAATTGGCTTAGAGACAGCCGAGCGACAGGGTGGTTTACGGACGCCGAGAAGGAAAGTGCAGCGGTATGATCAGTTTCCGTATGACAAATCTGGAGTACCGAACGCGCGATAAAATCCGCGTCGTTCTTCGACGTTTCCTCGACGTTTCCGAGAATCGTGATTAAAAGAGACAGAAGAAGCCTCGCATCTTGGAAGACATCGCGGATTGAAACGCAATCAACGAGCTATCAACGATCTTTCCAACGTGCTTTAAATCGAAATTGACAAGAAGATACGTCAGTCGTAGAACAGGTCAATAGTCGTGTTTAATATCCGTAGAGAATTTCGTGGGCGAAATTAAGAAAATAATTAATTTTAGATGATTTTCAATAACGTTTTTTTTATTTTTAATTTATTTTATTACATACCAAATCTTTAGCAACTGTGTCTTTATTCGATATTTGAGGCTCAAGATGAGTTTAAGAGTACTTTTTAATGTTTCTGAAAACTTTCTAGATAATCTAGATACATATAAAGTAAATCTTTGTTTTATTTGCAGTCTTATACAATTATTAATGTATTTGCTCACAATTCTTATTATAAGTGCATTGTGTATGACATTTAGTATACTACTTTGGTTTAATGGTTTATTCATATTTTTTTAGTATGTAAAAATAATTTATACTTGAAACTATTCTATTCCAAAATTTTTTAAAAATACATTTTAATATTTATTATAATATAAACTTCTTTTACTTTTATGTAACATATATTAAATATAATTTTATAGTATTATATATGTATAACTTTACATACACATTTACAGATTACATTTGTATAAATTTATTCTTATTTATATACAATGCTATTTAGAAATAATGTTTCTTGTTAATATTAATAAAAAGTTCGTTTAATTCATGAAGAATGATTTAAAACGATAGCTTAAAAACTAACTTGAGCTTTCATTGTGCGATTGTCAATAGATTTTCTTATAAACAAGCTTGATTTAAATCTTTATTTTATAAATATCAATTCTATAATATTTACTTATAAAATATTAATTAATTGAACAAAAGTGATGAGTTTATTAAATTAAGATTATTATAAGATATCAATCAAAATATTCATCAATCAAAATATAATGCGAAATATTGTTACTGAAAATTGTCGATGAAAATAACTTCTGTTGATTGATTCAATAGGTTCATATAATAATAGATGATTGATGTCGTGACTCGTCAAGATTTTCAAAATCAATCTACGTCAATGGCTTCGTTTATGAGACGCTATGTTTAGATATAATTTAGATGTTCATTGATCCACGAGGAACCGAAAGTGATCGTCCGGTGGAAAAAATTTTCGAGCGAGAGGCTAACAACTTCCGCTCGATTTTCGTCGAGAGCATTCGCCGGATTTCCGTACGATAGAATGTGCAGCTGATCGGTGAGTGGAAAATTGGATCGGAAAATTGTCATGTGAAGGACCATAAAATTTAAAAGTGAGAGATGCAATGCAGGAAACGGCCCGTAAAATATGCTAGGTCGCGGATTAATGAGAAAGCGGAGATTCCAATAACTGGTTAAGTTTCTCAATCAGGGTAAGACAAGAGTATTAAATCGAACATTACATGTACTGTAAAATTTAATAACTTTTAAAATATTATGAAATAATTCATAACGTATTATTTTCTGTATTCCATCAAATTACGTGCATTTAAATTATATGTATATCGATATCAATTTACAATTTGCAATAGACAAAGACTTGCCTATATTGTTAGCCATCAATATGCGGCAAGAAACAAAAAAGTGAAACAAGATGTTCGCATTGTCAATCGAGTTAAAAATCGAATTAATTACACAGTTACGTTAGAATATTAATAGGCCTGTATGTGCAGAAACGAATGTAACACACATCCTTTCGCTCACACAGAAGGACAGGAGTCTCTTTGATGTTCGCGCGTTCAAAACGATCTCATCGATCCCTCCGCGTCGATGAATTCTTTATGACGTACTCTGCAAACTCCATTGCATGCGCCGCTCTTTTTTTCGGGCCATCCGTATCACTCTCCATACTCTCCGCTCTCTTCAGGAATGACGTGGCACTTTCTGCTGATCATATGCTGCTACTTGTATGCCCTGTTTGACATGACCGCCCCGCATTTTCCGTGAGTACGCAATCACATTTCTTTTGCCGGACAATTATTTTTATAGATATTACACGATTTCAACATCAACAATTTCGGTAACAATAGTATTTTGCATCTAAACTTTTCTTTAAATTATTTTTTTTTTTATTATAAAAATTCTAAGAAGAGAATTCTGCTGAGAGAACAATAGGTAACATTTTCGCTAATTATGTAATTATGTAATATTTTCACTGATAACTGTAAAAACTGTAAAAAAGGAGAGAGAGAAAAATTATTTAAAAATTATTAAAATAGTGATAGAATTCTTGTTGAAGATAAGTACAGTTATAGGTTTCATTATTCTTGCATGATGTTTATTGCATCATAAATTGGATCATACACTAGATTATATATGACGCAGATTATAAACGCGTTGTGATTTAATGGGTATATATCACGTCTTTATACCGCATTCTCCGACGCATTTTTGTTTCTCAATCAATACTGCAATCACATTCTAATTGAACAAAGAAAGTCGTATGGTTAGCAATCGTGGCATCGACGTGACCGACCCGATTGAGAAAAATAGCATCCACTCTGTAATAATGAAACTGCCAACAGACTCTGCGCGCACTCAGTTCTTGTGCTCGGTGAATAATTTATGAGTGTCATCGATGCTGCTGCCATAAAAATCGCTGTATCAGCGATATCGCTGTTATAGCTATTATTTAACTTTTAAAGTGATTACTGAAAATTGGTTGCAGTTATAACTGAACGCTTTTACGTTTTTCTTCTTTTGTCACAATTAATGAGCAACAATTCAGTCTATTATTAATTATTATACAGCGATCATTCAAAAATATGATATGATATGCATCAAAAATCAAATGTTCAACAGCACTGTATAAAATTTTTTTGCTTATTATTATTTAATGACATTCATAAATATGTAAAGTAATTATTATGGAATAATATAATAATTAGAAAAGTAATTATTATTCCATATGCTTTGGTAAAATTCCCGTTTGAGGACCCACTTTTATTAAAACCAATAAATATATGTATATTATTCCTTAATAATTACTTTACGTCTGTAAACATTACTAAATAGAAATAAGTGAGAAAATTCTTGAGTCTTGTTACAGGTTATCGGCTTGAAGGGTTTCACAGTGATATAAGGCAATTTTAAATCAAGTTTACACAAATATGATTTGCTCAAATCAACCACCAACTATTAACATATTTTTATATAATCCGCGTGTTATTTGTTAATGTTAATACATAACAACATGTAACTTAACCATTTTTTAATAAAATTATTTTATTATCTATGTTACAAGTATTAATCTTAATGCAATTAATAACTTTTAATTAAAAAATACATTGCAGTGATTTATAATTTTCGACAATAAAAAATTAAAAAATGTATCTAAAAGTGGTTTTAGAGACGTACCATTTTTCAGCATTTCTATTTATTTACATTTTTTTATTAAAAAAATTATTTTTGTTTAACAAAAATCTAATTAAACAGCTTTAATAAATTATTTATTTAATTAAAGATAAATTCTTTACATATATCATTGTATTGTATTCAGTTTCTTAAACTAAATCATATGTTTCTCTCAAGATCACATGGTCAAATGCGATTCGTCATATAGTCTTTAACAAATACATAATGTTCAACAAATAAACACACATGCGCAAATGGTGTCCATTAGCAAACCGTTTCTCTCACCTTTTAACATTTTAGAGAACTGGACTTCGATGAGTACGGAAAGAAGGAAACCTCCTTGTCATTGAGAGATATCCTGCCTTTGAATCCGAAGCAGTACGATAAACACAGAGCACCGAAATTCCTTGGTCAGCCCACCATCGTTTATTTTCACGTGACAGTGCTTAGTCTGGACTCGATAAATGAGGAATCGATGGTGAGCGAAAGACCGATATAAGCAACATGCTAGAAAATTTGTTTTCTCCCAATATTCTCCTATAGAGAATATTACATCCGCTATATCCGTATTAAAGTTTATTAAACTATTTTTTCCTTTTTACATTAATCTTAATTATGTATATACTATAGTAATGAAATATATTATGTGTTATATATAAACGTATATAAAATAAAATTGGTTTACTCCTTTGTTGAAAAGATCAACTAAATTTTAATCTTTTTTCCCAATATATAAATTTTTTAAACTATAGTAATAGACAAATAAATAACACAAATTTATGTTAAATATTACGTAAGAATAACAATACTGCTTTGCGAAGTGCTTTTCAAATTTTCTGAAATTTATGACGGAGATATAATCCGTAGAGTATGTGCAAGTTAAAAGATACTTTATTTTCACATGAGAGAAAGAATAATTATGTCATCTGCATATGGTCACATATGAAGTGCGGCATCTGTTCACATTATTTTTCCACGACGACAGACATACGTGGCCGACATATTTCTCGCTCAGAGCTGGCGAGACTCTAGGCTGCGGCTACCGGAAAACATGTCCGAGGATTACCGGATACTTGACGTGGATTGGTTGCACAATATCTGGAGACCCGACTGCTTCTTCAAGAATGCAAAGAAGGTTACCTTCCACGAGATGTCGATACCAAACCATTATCTCTGGTTATATCACGATAAAACGTTGCTCTACATGTCTAAGTAAGTCTATCTCAGTTACTATTTAGTCTCATTTAGGATTATTATAATATTTAACAATAAACGTGATTCTTTAAATCTTTTTTATAAATGTTTATGTATATGTTTCAAAAATATATTTTATTAAAAATTTATTAATGTGTTAGTCAAAGTTAATAATAATAATGATAAATTGGAACTTATTAAAACTCGATAATTAAATCCTCTCTTTCCGAATTAATAGAGAATATTTAATACGATATAATATGATAATGCAATTGTATCTCTCTCTCTTTCTTTCATTTGTATAAAGTTAGAATCAAATAATCACTTTTCGTACCAAACACACATACGCTCGAGTAACATTCCAGCAACTGCAAAGTTATATTCGCTCGTACGAGAATAGTTTAAAATTTTTTATTTGAGTGAGATTTTCATAGCTTTGGACATTTATTATTAACAAATATCAAAACATGCATGTAAAAAAGGCAAAGAAAACGTTAATAATTATATCTTTTCATGAAAAACGCAAGTTTTTATGTGAATGTAAATAAAAAGTAACTTAAAACATTTCGTAATTCAAAAAAGATATTTAAATTTATGTTTTTGATGTTTTTTTTTTTTACATAAGGAATACTTAACAGTTAGAGATAATATACCTATAAGATAAAAGGATACTGAGAAGCACTAAGAAAAACCAAAGATAAAAGATGTAACTTCTAAAAATCTCTACAAAGTAGGTATATCTTGCAAGATTGCAAGCAAATATTTTATTGAGAGATATACTATAACTATAATTTTACACAAGTTACTTAAAAAATACCATCATAGAACTCCTTGAGAAATATTAATTTGTTCTTTTCATCTCTCTCTTTGCATTATAAAGACACTTCCATTTATGTGAACGGAACTATCATAATAAAATACTGATTTACAATGAAATGCCGCACATCGCAATCTGAGCAAAAAAAAATTTAAAAAATTTGTTATTATCGAGCTTTATAACGGCTAACGTGAGGAAGATGCTGTTAACTTCGAAGCTTCAATAGTTCGAGTAATAAGTGTATTTTATTTTAATGGTTTTTTTAATTTCTCCGTAAGATCTAATTTTAATGATAAATTTTTTAACAATTTATTGTTAATTAAAATGTCGGAGAATTTTAAATAAGAATCTTACAATCAGTACAAATCTTGAGAAATCTTGATCTGCAATACACATACAGCTTTCACATTGATATATAGCTAACTCGAATCAGCTTCATTTATTTCTATCTACTGGAGTTTTGATCCATGTTGGATGGAGCGAGTATAGTTGTCATGTCGTGTTCTGTCAAATTTTATTGACAATAAAATAACGCGAATTTAGTTTCCCTTGTTCCGAATGCATGTTTCATTGAGAACAAAAATAGAAAAAAACTTCAACATTATTTGTCACTGTGAAAAAAGCTATCGAGTAAAACATACTTGTGTCAAAAATTGAAATGTTATTTGATTAATAAATATCACAGAAAAGCGCAATATTCGATTAAAAAGAAAAAGGCCAATGATCGAGCAGCAATGGGTATTAAACCATATAATTATTAAATTACATATGTACAAAAATGAAACATAACAACATTCGACTTCACCGAGTCTTCTTCAGCCGTAGTATAATTAAAAATATCATATTTAGGTTAACAACTGTTCAATATTCGTTTTAGATTGACATTGGTGCTCTCATGCGCGATGAAGTTCGAGTCCTATCCTCATGACACTCAAATTTGCTCGATGATGATCGAAAGCCGTAAGTATATATTAATAATTAATTTATAAGCTACATATTATATATAACAATATTATTTCATATATATAAATATATAAAATTGTACATAAGTATATAATTATATAAAATGATACACATATATATAAGTTGTAAAAACATGCGTCAATGTTCATAATCTGTTGCAATTATTGTTTATACAATTATATTACATGCAATTATTGAATTATTATCAATTATTTATATCAAATATATGTTTACGAATAATCAAATTTTAAAATGTCGATGCCATTTATCTGTTCAGAGCTCTACGATTTTTATATATGACATTTATTTATATATTACGCTTTTTTTTACATCTCTCTACATTCTCTACATCTCATTATTTTCCAGTTTCGCACACGACTCAAGATCTGGTATTCCTATGGAACATGACCGATCCCCTGGTGGTTAATCCGGAAATCGAGCTGCCGCAACTCGACATATCAAACAACTACACGACCGACTGCACGATCGAATACTCGACCGGAAACTTCACGTGCATACAGATTGTCTTCAATCTGCGTCGGAGACTGGGTTATCACCTGTTCCACACGTACATCCCGTCCGCTCTGATCGTCGTTATGTCCTGGATCGCCTTCTGGATCAAGCCGGAAGCCATCCCGGCGCGGGTCACCCTTGGCGTGACGTCACTACTGACCCTCGGTTAGGCGACGTCTCTCCTCCCATCGCTCGTGATATAACTATTCATGATATTTGCGATCACGATAGAGCCTTTGTCGGGGGCTTAATGACGGCATAAATATCAGCTAAATTGCAATTTACCCCTAATTGCATTTTACATCAAAATGGTTTTAATAAATCCTTTGGTTTTAGTAAAACCGTTATTTAATTTTTTTTTCGATACTTATTGCAAGCTAAAATTACACAAAATTATTTAAATAAATATATATTCCGATAAATTATATCATAATTTAAAATAAACAATAAAGAATAGAGATAAATAAAACTCAATATGTGATAATTGAAATTTTAGCTTATTTACATAATAGATTCAAATTTACGTTTGCATAAAAATGAAGTGTTCAATAATATCTCAAACTTAAATTAATAAATGATATATACAAATATCTATACATAAAAATAGCTAAAAGCCTAACGAGAAAAATGAGAATAATTAAATTACTTTTATTCAATTTATAGAGATGAACGCGATTATGTCAATTAATTTGTACACATAATCATGAATGTAAGGATTAAGGATTAATATCTCTTTTTCAGCTACTCAAAACACGCAATCTCAGCAATCTTTACCGCCGGTCTCGTACGTGAAAGCAATCGACGTGTGGATGTCTTCGTGCAGTGTGTTCGTCTTCCTGTCTCTCATGGAATTCGCAGTAGTGAACAACTACATGGGGCCGGTCGCCACAAAGGCCATGAAAGGGTACTCGGACGAAGATCTTCGCGAGGCCATCGACGACTTCAAGGTAAACGGGCGAAAAAACGCGGCGCGATACATTTACGGCGAAATGCTCCACCGATTTCGCGAAATTGATTGTTCGAGATAAACCGAAATGCGCGGCGGCCACCATCGGCCGAGAGTAATGCGATTTCGTCCTGTCGATGCGATATCGCTCAACTGAATAAACATACTACCTAGAAATAAAGGGCACTGCATTGTAAACCGCATCCGTTATAAATTATCGACATTTCATTCGGGGTCGTGTAAATCATTGAGATGCGTAATAAAGTTATATCACTTTGTTTAATAAGAGAAAAGAAAAGGAAATATCATTTGCTCGCGACTCTACAACGCAGAAAAAGTTTTATACAAATTTTGAGCCGAACTTTTTAGTATAACGATACTCTGATTACGGTTCTAGCTGTTTCCAAAGCAGAAGACTCGCCTTGTGAAAACTTGTATGATTGACTTCTGCAAACGTATATATTTATTTCTGAATCTGAATGTTATACGGTAAACAGCATCGGCGACGGAAAGTATGGCGAAGTACACTATATACACGAAGTACAACCACTTTCCTAGACGATTCATCGTATCGCATGACGGAGTAACTTCCCTTTGGTAACTTCTCTCTTGAACAAGTTCCAAAGTTAGATTTTTATTGCATGCATGCGTCCCACACTCAATTCGCAGAGAAATATTTATTCTCTCCTTTCTTCCGCGTAGCTTACGCAGACTTTGCAATTCGCCACGTTCTATACATAGAACGCACCCCCGTTTTCATTACATTCGTCGCGCGCAATATTTGCCTGTATCTTGTACCACTGCAGCGTTTATTATTTTTATTCTTGCTTGCTTTATGATAAAACGTTTCGTGCACGAAATAAACATTGCCTTTCTTTAATAGCTGGTAAGCAAAAGTCACGCTTTACGCAGTTAAATATGTTTTTCTATGACTATTATATATCTTATCTTTGATTCACTACAAATCCAAGTGTGTTATTTTAGCCGAAGCTCTTCTCACACATTTCTTGCCATTTTAAATCACGTTATTTAACACGATTGAACATATTAACTTTTAATAACCCACCATTAAACATGCTAAATGACGTAATTTAACACATAAAGGAACACGTAAAAAGAGCTTCTGTCTACAAATGTGTCAATTTTAGACGTTTTATGCGTGTAAAAATGACACACTTGGATTTGCATAGTGTTTGCAAGTAAATTTGTATTAGCAAGCATTATATTTTTTTTTTGTATAATCGCAAGTAAGTATAATGATCTGTACTTACCTTGCAATAGTCTTGATTAATAAAGTGATTAAAAGGAAGAAACGTAAGACGAAATAAATAGTACCCACAAAATAATTTTCCACATTTATTACTTTCATGTTATTCTACGTGATGTATTTTTTGTCTCTTTTTCTCTCATAGACGCCAATGAGGCCGGATACCGAAAGGAGCAGAAGTCCAACGAGGCCACCGACGGTACAGTATGAGCAGTGCTGCCAAGGACGAGCTACCGCCATTTACATCGACAAGGTTTCCAGATTCTTCTTCCCCTTCTCATTCTTCATCCTTAACGTCGTCTATTGGAGCACATTCCTGTAATGCAACTCCGGGCAAGACGCATGTCCGCGACTCGGCGAGAGCCGGATGCGCTTTTAAAGACATCGAATTATGGAAAGAATATCCTGGGATGCAGCGATAAATTTGTCGAAGCAAGCTAATGGAAAGTGTATCCTGCGAACTATCATGTATAAAGTACGGCACAATAAAAGAGGAAGTGGAATAAAATCCGCATATTTATTGAAGACGTGTCTAATAGATTGTGATAACAAAAGTTAACCGATCTGTGTTCATTACAAGACACATAGTAAAAATGTCCTGTAACAAATTATAAGAAACATAACAATATAGTTATATTGATAAATAGGATATTTTAAAAATATCTTGTAACTTTCATAAATATCGACTAATTTATATAATTAATTTTTTTATTAAAAAATCATAATTTATTGCATTAAAATTTCATTAAGATGAGAAAAAATGTGTTTGTTCAAAAACATTACTTATGCGTTTAAATTTAATTAATGTATATGCGATAACGGTTTACAATGTTTAAATTAACTGATTAATGTACATGAATTACTCACCTGTTTCTCATATTTGTGTTTACAATAACATAATGTCGAAATCAGAAACTTAGAGATTATAACATTATACATAAATTGAATCTAGAGCTCGTATATTTAATACGATAATAAATAAAATAATGAATAATACAAGGCCAAAAATGAGCCAACATAGATATCATAAATTAAGATTATAGTTTAATATCTCAATACATAATCGTGTATAAAAGGGACGTTTCGAGCTCCACAGAGTGTTCCTCAACCAAATAAGTAAAAAAAAGAAAAAAAAACATTTAAAAAGTTAAGATTAAATTAACGGCGCGGATACGTCTATGTCCTAACGTCGGTAGCGAGTCAAACAATAAAAGTCAAAAGGAGTCGCATTGTGCGCAAAGCATAAAACATTAATTTTAAATCACATCGCGGTCATCTTGTGTGAAATCCATAACTGATATTTAAGAACCGGTTCTCTAGGTTGGCCAGGTTAGAGATTGGGCGCTAGGCTAACAACTTTCTTTTAAGTAATCCAATCTGCAAAATAAAATTGCAGCTAAACTGACAGCTGCATTATGCCGTTACACTTAGATTTCTCAAAATATGGCTATGAAAATTATACCTTTCAGATTTTTCTTGTATAGAAAAGTTAATATCTAAATAGTAAGATGTTAAGGACCTTAAATGTCCCTTTTATACACAATTATGTATTAAGATATTAAACTATAATCTTAATTTATGATATCTATGTTGCTCTCGTTTTTGGCCTTGTATTATTTATTATTATAACATTATATTTATGATAAATTATATTTCTAGTTATCATGTAAATAATATAAAATAAAATATGCGTAATATATGTACAACTCTCATAGTATATCTTTATGCAAAAAATTTTAGTTTAATTGTGATAGAATCGAAAGATATTTATATTAATTTCAAGTAAAATAAAAAATTAGAAAAAAATATTTAATTATAAAGAAAGATAGACTAAAGAAAAATTTAATTAATTTTTAAAAGAAAATCAAAAGAGGAACAGCAACTTGAAGACGATAAAAATCTGATTGATACTCGTTACAACATACGTAATATACTATGCAATATGCATGTAATGATGTAATATCACATATATTTCTTAAATTGTTAATAATAACTTTAGATTGTTATCAAAAGTAACGCGAGTATCGTTTAATTGCTGTTCTGTTCACTAACCGAACTTAAATGTCTTGCGGCAAGTTAATGGCGCGTATTGTCTGACACATTACGGAGTATTACTACTGCAAATCACTACCACGTGGTGCGCTGATAAATTGAGCGTTTACGCCAGTGTTTCTCAACTTGTAACACAATAATCCGCTATAAATAATTTCTTAAGTCAATCTAAAACGTTTATAATAACTGCGAAAGCAAATTTAATTGTTAATTACATACGTGAAGATAAAAACAAGATTTAGAGCAAAGTAAAATTTCAAATAAAAATATATAAAAAATTTATATTAAAAAATAAAATCTTATATAAATTAAAATAAGCTTGTGTGTGTGTGTGTGTATGTGTGTGTGTGTGTGTGCGTAATTGTTCTAACATTATTAAATAATTGTGCCTTTAAAAATATAAAGTACAAATTAAATTATAAATTTAGGATTTAAGAATTAAAAGAGGTGTAGAGATTTAAAAATGCTTGACGTATATAGATATAAGTATCTATCTATAGTGCCAGAAAATATTTACTTATATATGCTGTAATTTACCAATGTATGTTATAAGAATAAAATTAATCGTTTATACTTGTGTCTTATCCAAGTACCTTCCAATTACATTATGACCGTTCGTCATTGTTCAAGTAAATTCCGTGTCATCCTTGCACAAGTTTTTTTATTTGAAGATTGAGATATCATGCAGCGATCGCAAATTTCCTCAGCGCAGAGAGAGATCAACAGTCACAATACTGCAATACAGAAATAAAATGCAATAAAACAAATGGAATCAAGATAAAAATAAAATTCAGGACACGGTGTGTAGTAACAGTTGGAAACAAAGATATTTATACGTGTAACAAACAACAGACATTGAAATGATTCCATAATAAATCAAATTATTTCTTGCTGTAATTTTTACATTTCTGTCGTCGAGAATAATCCAGGCGTTATTTATACTATCTTAAATCGATAAACCAGTAATGATGTAGGTACTCATAATAAACGAAGGCAACTTTTAAGCCAATTTAATTAAAGTATTCTGTGAATTATGCTGCCAAACAAATATAATTAAACCACTCTAAATACAACTTTGAAACAAATAATTAGACCACCTTAAATATATCTTGCGATAGCGGAATAAGAGATTTGGAAAATTAGAAATTTTAAGGAATCTCTGAAAAAGAATCTGTAAATGTATAGCAAATTACAGTTTCCACTGTTTTTATTATACATACCCTTGATTCTTTAAAAAAATAAACATTTTGTCAATAATAATTGAAATCTATCAACATGAAAAATATTCCAATTTACTTCGCGTAGAGAACTGTATCTTTCTTAATATTGTGTATATTTCTGTCATTAATAATATTATCTCTATTGGTATTCTAAAAAATATAGGTAAAAGAAGAAAGGTAAAAAAAAGCTATAGATAACAGCAGAAAAATCATTATTCTCATTATTGTCATTATTAGTTAGGTTGAAGTCCCTCAAGCTATAAATGAAGATTATAACAATAAAGATTATAAAAGAAAAACATCTTCCTTTCTTTCCTACTCGTCGCAATCTTGAAACCAAAATTTTCCCTCTCGCTGGAATGCCACGCTGCAATTATAATTTAGAGTGAATAAAATTATTAATAAAATGAAATTTACGGAGTAATTAACTGGAACTTTCACAGCACAACTTGCGCAATAAAATTTAATTAAATTACACCAGACGCAAAATGTTCTAATTGAAACGTATAAGAGACTGATAAAATAAGGATAGATATCACGATAAACTTCGCAGATTCATTAAATTACTTAATGAATTTGATTCGAATTTTTTTTACAATTATATTCTGACATTAATAATAATAAAATAAGAAGCTAAAGATTATGAATTTAAATAGAAATTTCAAAAGTGCAGGAATTTTGCGATTTAATTTCTCGAAGCAAATCTCGGTTTCTCGCGCATCTCCGCATTCATATAATTTCTTTCACTGCTAGCGCCGACATGCGGTAAAAATTCAGCTCAACGTGAATACGTCTTTCATCTCTCTTCTAATCGTTGCGGTTAGCTGCACCAGCCGGGAGAACGTCGCTCCTCATCATTCGGCAATTGCTCTGGCAAAGGGCAATTAATTGCGACGAGCCGCGCTCGCGCCGCGAATAATTACATTCGCGTGTAAGGAATCATAATTGCCGTCGGTACGAATGGGTCATTTTACGGTAAGTATGTCGCGACCCAAAATATTCCATTTACGCCGGCTCTTCACCTTCACCGCGCATTTCCGACCTGACACGTTGCCTTTCTTCGGATCTGCCGTTTCCTGCGCGAACGCCAACGATAATAATTTCCCACGGCTTGCCACACCTGCGCGCGACACATGTCACGAGCGTGCCGCATTCAATTAGAGCTAATACAATTGCCTATTGCCTATCAGCCGTGTAATCAGCCGTTCAATCGGCATTAATTTATTATTGTTACTTAGATTAGTATCGCATATAGACGCGGTCTATCCTTAAATAAATTAGAGTAGCAAACAAGACTTTACAATTTTATAAAAAGACTTCAAATTTCTGCCGTCATATCTGACTTTAAGAGATCCGGTATTGATCTGACAACTTTTCGTTCTTAAAAGATACAGAGAACAAAGTTTAACCTTCGAAATTTTAATATTTAATGTCAAACCTTATGCCAAATATTTTGAATTAAGTTTATATACGTATACATGTTAAGAAAAATTTATTTTAAAGTATACGCGCCAAGACCTTAAAAAATAGAAGATTAAATAAAATCTTCGATAAGAAAAAAATTTAATTACCTTAAATCTAAACATTTAAAAATTCGGACAAACTTCTGCATAATTATTAGAGAATTTATTAAAGAATAATTGATAAGCTCATCTAATCGAAAAATCCAATTAATATAGCAAGTGGTGAATCGCATCCCGGCAATATATTGAATTGCATTTCGTTCTTGCCAGCCATTTCATAAGCGTAGATAAAGGGATGAAAGTTATTACCCGATTTAAAAGCCAAACGCAATCTAATCCGATTGCATCCGAGATTTAGGTAGAGATGCATTGAGGATTCGCATGCAGCCATTGATCTATGCACTTTCGATGCGCGATCGAAACGGCGCGGCGCGGGCACGTTACTTAACAACGAATCTATCGCAGTCGTGTTCGCCGTGGCTGTTTAACGAGATCCCTTCATTTGCGTAATTAACTATCGACTTTCTGTCGCCAGCGCAGTTAACGAGCGTCGTACCGATCGTTAATGGATTCGAGATAACGTGGGCGGATTCTAAGAAGCGGCTAAACAATTATTATACTTAGCGCAAATTGCCAGTCACCCATGATATAGTCTACGGTAGATAAAAAGCGGTCTTAAAAAGTGGCAAATTTAAATATCTAGATAAAAAATTATTAAAAACGTTTAAAATTGTTCTTTTAAATTGCTGCATTATTATATGTTTTAATACAACTACTAATTTAAATAATTAATCTTACGAATAATCAAATAACTTGTCTTATAAGTATATGTAGTTTTAAATAACGAGGGAAAGAAGAAACATGATGCCAAATATTGTTTCTAAAAATACGATTATAGATTATTTATTAAATGT